ATATCCCTAAGTTAAAGCATGTCTTGGAGGTGCGGTATCTTTTTATTCTTATTTCATTAATGTATAAGCCTCATCTTATATTCGTATATCAATTATTAGAGTCATATCAATAAAAGCCTAGATGTTGCTGAATATCCATATACAAAGGATCCAGCAGGTGGACCAGATGGTAATAAATCTTCGGGGTCTGAATTAAGAAGGTGCTTAGATTTTAGATGTCTTTAACACAACGTTAATATATTAAATGATCTAATAATAGCTTATATTTAGTCTTCGACCTACATGGTTCATGAAAGGCCAGGAGGTAAGTTGATCAGAGTTTTTCTTATTTACTATTTTAATCATTTAATATTTAAAATTTTATTGCCCTATTCAGACCAAAAATCCCCGTATAATAGTTTTTATAACCGGTGGTGTGACATATTCAGAACTCCGGACTGCATATGAAATCACCGAAAAACATCGTCAAGATGTCATTATTGGTAATTTGATTCATTGTATACTTATCGGGAAATTTTTGTTTAATAATATTCATTCTATTTTTTAACACACTAGGTTCAACGCATATCATAACTCCTCAGAAATTCGTTGAAGATATGTCACTTCTTCACAATCCGCCTACACAGTCTTATTCACCACCAAAGTCAAGACCGTTACCCGCCCCTCCGAATGTACCAACTGCTCAAAATTATAATCAATATAATAAATCACCATCTGCTTATGGATATCCGCAAGGTGGTCAATATTCACAACCTCCATACTCACAGCAAGGCGCTTTTCAAGGAGGCAACTATCAACAACAAGGAAATTATTCTTACAATCAATCAAATCCCGGTTATCAACAAGGCTATCCGACAAGGCCACAATATATGAATCCGAAGCCATGATTTATGTTCCTTCATTTTATTTTAATTTGTAGATAGAATGCGTAGGGCTGTATTTATTTTTGATTTATTTATTTCCATCTTGACCATTATGATTACACTTTTTTTGCATTATTTATTATATATTACCATTGCAATATTAAACAGTATACATTTCATTATTGCTAGGCACTTGAATAATGATAGTAGTTTTGTTTATAAATTTGGAGCCGTTTTAGTTTTCATTTAAACCGGTTTAATCATCTAAAAAATAAAACCGGTTCCAAGCTCTAGTCTGTTTTTTTGCATTGAATGATATATTGAGCTAAATATTTAATCATTAAAATAATCAGATGAATAAATTTGATCGATAACCGTCCTACAGTGCTCTACCAAAGGGTCATAATAATAATATACAATAATAAAAATAATTAAAATGTTATAAACCGTTTTAGTTTAATATTTTAAGATTTATTAGTACTGTATTTAACAACAATTTTTTTTTTTGGCTTTAATAATTGCAGTTTATAATATTTGAAATTTTTAAAAAAATATTTTGCTTATTTTTAAAGGCAATACTATTCGTACGCTTGTATCAAACACGGATAAAGTGTAGTGGAAAGATTATTATTATGGACGGGATAGTCTTCAAAGAAGGCTCAACAATTAAGAGTATCAATAAGATTATCATGAAATATGAATAATGCATAAGACGCGTTTATTGTCGTAATATAGTGCGAGACACTTAAAGGCTTCACAAACTTTAAAAGCTAATAATAATCAAAGTAAAAATAGTACTATAAAAAATAGGTTGTTATTTTGTAGTTTATCTAATTTACTACAACATAGTGGTTTTATTTTTCAAAAATTATTGTATTTTTTTTAATAGTTTTACTAAATCACACTAGTGGTGTTTACCACAGTTGCTATATTTCAAAAACATACTAGCTAATGCATGTCAGAATACTAAATAAAAATATTTAGCATCTCCAAAAATCTCAATATTATTATTATTTTATTTATTTTTTTTTAATCTTTGGCAACCTTGCTAGTGATCCTTTATTAAGATTATTATATAAATAAATCACATAATGTTGAGCTTAATATTTAGGCTCAACATCTTCTGGTTATTTTGTGAATGTTTAGAATTAGTTTGAAATTTTTTTTAAAACCAGAAGGCTAATACCAGATTAGCCATCCAGGCCATACCAAAAGGATTTGCAATTATTTTAAACTAAAATTTTAAAACTACTACTATATATTCCCAAAAATAAGCTACCATTTTTGGAAGAAAAATTACATAAAAATATTGTAGATAGCTTATTTTTGGGTAAAAGTAGACTTTGCTCGATTGTGAAAAATTTTACTAAGTAAATTGATATAGATTATTAAGTAAAAGTCAATCAGAAGATTAAAATATACATATTTTAAAATTTTCATATAAATCAGATAATTTTTTATTAATTGACTTTTGATTTTTACATTCAACAAATATGAATTTTAAAGAAGTTTTAAAAAAATTTTAAAAAATTTATCAAATGTAATATGCAAAAATATATTAATAAAAGGTTATTCAATTTGGATAAAACTTTCAAAATATATATATTTTGATTTCTTTAATATTTTTATTTAATAAGCTATATCGATTTAATTAATAAAATTTTAGCTTCACTATAGAGTAACTACTGATGATCATATAAGCAGCTTATTTTTGGACAAAAGAAGTTTTTATGTTTTTCTTCTAAAAAAAAAGGTAGCTTATTTTTAGAATAGCTTATTGAATATATAGTATTCACTATTTAAAAATACTTATCCAATATCAAAAAATGCTTATCCTATAAAAGAAAATGCTCTTTTGTTAATAAAAAAATTTTTTTCTTAACAAATTATTATATTTCTATAGTAATTTAATATTCTAGAAAAAGATATTTTAATTTAGCCTTATATACAACTTTTTCTGATAATCACTTGTACCAACTAATACCTGAAAACAAGTTGAAAACTCAAAATCAGAAGTAAACAAATAACTTGTAGTTTTTTTAATACAAACTGTTGTTGATGAAGTCTTTTAATATGATATACCAAAGAGCAGATATTTTAAACAGTTTGCAAAGGAGTTAAGTTTTTTCTTTTTATCTCAAATAGACTCCCTTTTGTATTTGGTATTCAAATTAGAGAAGTCTCTGAAAACAGTAAGTAAAAGAAGACTCAAGTTATTTTGAGAACAGAAGGCTATAAAAAACTCTTGGAACAATGCTTTTTGGTTAAAAAACTCGCAAAACTACAATATTTCTCTGCTATCTTTTTTTTTTATAATTTTTAACAAAAAGTAAAAGATTTGACTAACTCTCTTCAAAAAATCAGTATTGTTTACTACTTTTATTTTTAGAAAGTCATGAGTTACAATATAACAAATAAAAAATATAACAATCACATATAAGGAGAAAGTTTTGTTTTGGTTAAAGCAAAGTACATAAAAGTCTTATGTTTAGATTGGTGTTAAAATACAGGAATGAAGATCTTATGTGACAGACCCAAGGAAGTAGCTCTAATGATGCTGGTTGACTATAGAGAAGACTCTCTATTTAATCTCATATATTGTAAAAACAAAGTATAAAATGAAGAACTGTAAGAGAATTTTGAAAAGAGTAGCCTATTACAAATAAAACTGATGATTACATGTTGAGGCTTTAAAATTAGCATTCTAGGATTTGAGATAAATTTAAATAAGAGTTGCAAGTTAAAGTGATTTATTGGAGATATACAGTATTCTGAGATCATATATATATAATTTTTAGCATTTAGCACAAGTTAAAGTATATTCTAGTATATAGTTTCTTTTTTGTCAGATAGCTCT